CAAATTAGCAATAAATTCTCACGTTAATGTTCTCCCATATTTCGTATATTCCTTAGTTATCTCTGATATACCTAGTAGAAATTCGATAAAATGTGAGAAGCCGCGAATCGGAAGTTCAAGTGTGAGTTTTCGAGCATCACCATCGTAGACCTCGTGCGAGGCTAGGCGCTGAATTTCTCATCGCGATCACCACGTAGGCAGTGACTGTGACTCTAGCTGGCTGTGGCTGAGGAAAACATCAGCACAGCAGACAGCAAAAGCAAACGAAGGTCGGAGCTCCGTGGCGTCGCTTACTCAACATTGGTGAACGGTATGTCTTGTGGCGCTTGCAACATTACACATAGCACGAAATAGAGTTTCTAACGCGGTACGCTCTCTAGAATTTCAATCTTCATTGCATTAGATTGAAATGAGAGCGGCACCAGGTGATTGTGTCATCTGTTCCGTGCATCATAACCTCTTGTTATTAGTACCTAGTCATAATGCTTGCATACACTAATTTCTTCCTTTCAAGTTTTAGAGGGGGAAATGGACACCGAAAGTAGAGCAGAACATTCTTCGTTCACTTCAAACACAGTTTTATTAACACCAAAGTCTGAAGTCGCTGATTGTGATGTTGAAGTTAAGGACGAGGGCAATACTAACTGGCCAGAAGAATCTGGATTGCTTGGTCACGTAATAATGGGCCAGCCTGTGGTAGAGTTTGATTGGGACGTCTACAATGTTTGTATATGTGGTCATGAGGCCTACAGGCAGTAACTAAATGTATTCCTGACTGCAGTATTATGAAGTCAGGAATTGCTAACTCACACATCTTTGCTGGAAGCAGATGTCATTTCGTTGTTGAACTTCACCAAAATGGCTATAGTCTTCCTCAAAGAAGTTCAGTATCAGAAAGCTACAGAAAAATCATGTGGTAAGGTCAACAGCACTTACGCAGTGTTCAGTTTCTGTTTCAAATTTTGTTGTAATGCTGCATTTTACTTTGTGTGGTGACGATAGGTTTGCTGTCGAGAAATGCAACTGGTACCTGATTGACACAGCCGTCAGAAACAAACTGAGGTACCTTCTTCAATCAGTGTCTTTTCAAAGTGGAGTTGGCATTAATTTTTCCAATGATGCAGATGGCTCCTTATATCACCAAAAAAAGATACTTGTCAATGTGGTATGTGTAGGCTTCTATTCAGTCAATGTTCAATGAACCTAGGAAAAGGTAATCCACAATTTCTTAATTCTTCCAGATTGCTGCTGATGAGGTGGAACTAAAAACTATATGTCCCGGAAAGTGCGATCATTATTTTTGCATGGGGTCTATTCTTTTGAATGCACTGAAGATATCGCCATGAATAAAGATTGACACAACATCAAGTAATAGGTATGTTTAATCTAACAGTCTGGTCTGGAGATTTCAATTTCTTCTGTGTGGCTCATATTATCGTATCTTTATTGTTTACAGGAAGACCGAGGAACTCCTTAGTGTGCTCTCAAATGCACTTTATAATTTCTACCAAGGAGAAGTACAAGGAAATCAAAAGTCCCTTCTGCATGAACCACCTGCTGCAACAGTTACTTCCCTAAATGGCCGGGAAGACAATGAAGTGGATGAAGTGCATACTGATCCTTCAACTACTGAACTGCAGAGCATGCTCCAGGTATGGTAATGTAGAAGCTAGGTAATTTTAATTTGTCTTTATCTCTGTGTGATGATTTCTTTTTGTAATTTAGGTGGACAATGATTGGTTAAATGAAATAAAGCCCAACATTGTAGCTGTTTCGCAGCCTAAGCAATGCAGGATTCAGAAACATAAGAGTTTACGAGCAGATATGTAAAGTAAATACTTATTCCTCCAATGAAATGTAGTTAAGTCAATGTAACATTTTAGAATAATGTATATCTGAGTGGGTACACTAATAATGTGAATGTGATTGTTTTTCTTTCACTCAATTTTTTACTTCTTTTGATGTTTATGACTATGAATTCAATGAAATGAATCTATGTCCATATCTTTACTTTAAGACATACCTGTTTGCACAGTGCGATTCCCTTCAAAATGGATTGGTTTTCTTTTCCACTCATGATTGTGTGTTTCTATTACAAATTGAAGTACACACATGCTAAAGTGTGCAGTGTAGATGAAATTGAATGTGTAACTGTATGTTTGGGTACAAATTGTGAAATGATTACACATTTTTGCTAAAATGGGAAGGTGAACGCCTTTTTTTACATCAATTAAGAAATCTCTATGCAACAAAGCATTCTGTGGAGGAAATAGTTTGCATGCAATTTCAAATTGGTACGAGAACAGGAATCGATATTGCTTTGCTCACTTTCATTATTTCCTTTTGTGTGCTTGAAAATTATTGTATATTTTGAGGTAGTATTGAAGGGTTTTACATATTACATGAAGGTTTAAGTAGTTATTGAAATTGTTAAAGTTTATCTAAGTGTGAAGACCATGCCCAGAATAATGGGGAGAAGGGATTATCAAATTAATGTATTGGCTTTGAGTGTTTTATTTGGTTGTTTTTATGAAAATAAAATCTGGTTAAATTGTGAAGATCTTTTACACACTCTGTTGATTGATATCAGTCAATTTTGCCAGCAACGAAGCATTCATGACTAGTGCCTGTGACTAGTACCTCCCCTTAGTAAGCGTGACCGCAAGAGTGGTTGGAGATACTAGTCAAAAGAAGTTACATCATAGTGTTGTCCGTAACCAAAGACGTAAAAGTGCACAAAGCAGTATATTTTGTTGATAAATAAACTAATTGAGTGATGGTACTGTAAGCTGGTCGATCACTGCACCATCTCTTACCTCAATGCACAAAGCAAAACAGACAAGCAAATGTTGTAATCTGTATATATTTCTATTGATTTCTATGCCAGTAGTGATGATAAAGTATTAAATACATTATTATTTTATATTTTAACAAAAACGGCCTAAGATAATTTTGATTACATTACAATAATCTGAGAAATGTTAAAAGAAATACAAAAACATTTCTAATATAATTTTTCTATGGGATTACTACAGTAAGATCACTGCAAATTCACAGAACATAAGAAAAGAATACAGTACAAGTGAATTGAAATGTAACAAATATATAAAAAGAAACGAAAACAACTTAAAATCATACTAAATTGCATTTTCACATGCTAAGAGAATAATCTACTCAGATCTTTAGCTGGAATACTATTCTAGGTTGTCTTCTGCCTTGACTGCTTTCTTTCTTCGCTTTACTGATTGCTGCAATCTTTCCAATGCCTGACCATACTCTTCCCTAGTTTTTTCATCCAGTCTCATATTATTACACTGCCTTTGATAGTGCTTTTCTAAGTGTGTAGAACTACCACGTATCACAGTACTGCAAACTTCACACACATTTCCAGTTCCGGAACTTCCAGATGCTTTGGTGGGATACTTTTCTTCAATTTCATTGAGAAGAGTTGCCGCTGAATCTGAATGCTGAGCCATCACATGGTCTATGAGTCTCTTTTTGTGATCCTTGTATGCACTTCGACAGGCAGAACATTCATAAATTTTTTCTTTTCGATGCACTTCCTTTTCCGGGAGATGGACTTTATGTTCAGGTGACACGTTCAGTACCTGCAAAAGGAGGTGGGTAATTAGAACTGTTTCACAACACTTTTGTTAATTGTAGAGAACACTGAAAGTGGTGTCTGTATGACTCAAAACTACGAAAAACATTGTTGCATTAATTGCACATTTACGAGATGTTACAAAGGGTGCAAATTTACTTCTTATAAATTATTTTAGAGGGAAGAAATTACAAATTTTGCTTGGTCATGACTGTAGCTGAGAACACAGGGATTAAATTTCTTATTTTTTCTGACACGTAACTGAAACTATTGTTTGAATGATATTAACAATACAATTAATATGGGGATTTTGTTATGAGGAAGAGGATTAAGAACTGTTTCTCTAACAAAAAATTGCATTGGGATGCAAAACTCTGAATGAGTTGCAAGTATATGGCAATAATTGAAGTATAAAATGCATGCAACAGTCATTATTATCCCAAATGGCCACTTTTGAAAGTTGTTACTGATAAAATTCCCAAGCTTTGATAGTGTGTTACCTCACCTCTGTGTTTGCACCACTGGAATCAAAAAGTGATTTCATCATTTCTGGGTAAAAGGCTGCTACTAAAATTCTCATGTCGAGATGGATGATTGAGTCACCGCTACAATGTAAAATGAGTTTCATAACAGTCATTTTAGTACTGGAAGTAATAGAAGTAAGGACAATTAAGCTGCATGAAAATAGATTGGTACTTACTAACACCTGCACCGCCATCTCATTGCTTTGACTCCTTCAGGTATCCAAGATACTGTACCAAAATTAACAGCTTCAGCAATATTTGGTCCACAATTAAAACCCCAGTGAATAGTATGCGGTTCCAAAATAATTAGCTGACCAACATGTTGCACGGTCTGTCGAAAAAAAAACATATAAGATAAACAAAATAAATTTCATATTTTACTGAAGGATACTCTAGTTTGTACTCACAATGTGATATTTAACATTGAGGTCGTCTAAGAACTTCAAAGTGAAAACATAATACTTGTGGTTCAAACTGTTCATACAACTTGTGTGCACTAGATCCATCTTTAAACTTTGTAGTGAATCTCTAACCTTTTCACAATACTCAGGAGGTATGGTTATCCTGCAAGACCATTTAAATGATTTCAAATAAAAGTAGAGAAAATTTATACATCAAATATGTTCAACATCAGAAATAAATGACTGACCAGATTTTGGGGAATCCTAAATGCAGATAGTTTGCAGCGTACAAGGCCCCATCTTCGGTGTGGCCTGCGAAACATGAATGTTCTTCCCCGATGTAAAAGTCTGGAGTTTGTAATCCATTGTACTTATGTGGTAGTAAATTAAGTACACTAGTAATTTTAGATAGGCTAAAGTTTTTTGTCACATTGACAGCACTGCTGTTTATTTTGAGTTGAATGCCTGAAGCATACCTTGGATATTTTAACATGTCACTCTTCTTGGGGCAACTACGTTTGCGTTTGACCTGTGATTTCTGTTTGTCACTGTCTGAGTTGACCCGTGAATTTTGTGTGTCACTGTCAGAGTCAGACTCAGTGAAGCAATCTTCACAGGTGCAATATTCGAATAAAGGTTTCTCCTGCACGTCTGCTTCTGCACAGTCACGTGTTGAAGATAAAAGTCTTTCATATTCAGCTTTCACTTTCACACCATTTTCTACAAGTCTCTTTTGCTCATCAGCATCATGTAGGTTGTGCTCAGATCATCCTGATCTGACTGTAGCACAGAAAGAACTGACTTCTTTAAACCAGTGTTTAACAACTGATATCGGTCCTTCCGAGCAGCTCTCTAGGATCAGTGAACTGGTAAAATAACATCATATTAGTTCCATGTAATAGGGGGTATCACCCACTGAAATCAACAATTTCAGACCTATTCACAATGCATAAATATAGAAATGTCTTCAAATTACAACACTTACCAGCAAGTCTTAGGAGCAGAGTAGACACTGAGACGTCTCATTTTCTTTTCAAAAGTCTTAAAATAATTTCCTGTTGCAGGGGTACATGACCTGTACCCATAACAAGTGTCACATAAAGGGTATTTACTGATTTCCTGCAGTACACACTTGTCCTTGATAAGGGGTTTCAAAATTTGCAACAGTTCTTCTGACTTGGTGCCCTCGATTCTAGATGATTCTTCAACGTTCAACTGAAAACAATCACAAAATCATTAAGTAAACTGAACCTGGCATCATCCCACACAAATAGCGAGCAGCAAACTGCAAAAATACGAGAGAAGGGATGCAGGACAGGGGCGTTGTAATCATCAACAACCACCCCACTCCCCCAAACTAGGCTAAGGACCAGAAAAGTTTTTTCACCTTGAATATACCTCGACCTCCAACATAACCTCCACTTTCAATTTTGTCTATGGTTTTCACGAACTGACAAAGATCTCTATCTGTCACATTAAAAACAGCAGTTCCATTTTCAAAATATGAAGGTAACACATCGGCCACATCGGAAGAGTCATCCATTATACCCTAAAAGAAGAAAAATAGATAAAACGTAACCTTCGTTGCGATCGTCGTGACGTAGTGCGTTGTTGATGAGCTGTGCAAAACAAAACATACTTAACTATTTAGAATAACGATTGCTTTAAGAATTATTGCAACTTAATAATCACACGAGCAGAACACGATTGTTTGTTTGTGCTTGGGTCGCGAGCACTAAAAATCGGTCGGGAGGCACTAACGCAGTCGCAGTTCCGCTTGCTTGGAGAATTGAGGGAGTAGATATGAAAAACGCGCCTTTATGGAAACGTAAACAAACAGTGAAAATCGGTGTCACGATTGGCGTTCCACGAGAATAATACACCGAGGAACGTACCCCGGTTCCCCTGCTGATCTTACCTACTCACCAAGTAGGTCATTATTTGCAAATGGTCGAACTGTCAGTGTTTTATCATATATCATATATTTTTCTTTATATTATTCTCGTGGAACGCCGATCGTGACACCGATTTTCACTGTTTCTTTACGTTTCCATAAAGGCGCGGGAAATGTGGGGTGGGGAGGAGGAGAGGGGTAGGGGACGCGGCACGGCGAAGGGGGAGAGCAATAATTACGGCAGAAGTTCTGTCTGATCGGACGACGGCACTCACCGACATATCGTGGTCGCGGGGTGTGATTCTTTCTTGGGGTAGGCAATCCCGCCTCGCTTGTCCAGGATGTGATCGTTTGGGGATGCCTCCCGTCCCGTGCATCGTTGTGTGGCTCCAGTCGGCAACGCCAGGGAAGTGTTGTAGATGTGACAATAATGAAATGATCATGATAATAAACTATTATGGGCGATGACGTCCCCGGGGGCCCGAACGACCTCGTCAATTCATGATTTGGACTCAGCGTGCAAGAAAACCCCCAAACACAAAATTTCAGTCGTCCTGGTCATTATGAGGTTGACGGTCGGTCGCTCGGTCGGTCTAACCGTATCTTGTTTTGACAGCCCCCCAGGCGCAGGCTTACGCCCCTCGATCTCTTTCGTCGCTGGCGGCGCTCGTCCAGGTGGTTCGCGTCAGCGCCGCGGCCTGCACCCCCTGACCGTCCACTCCGGTGCCGCCGCTGTGGCTGCCAGTGCAGCCGGGCGCAACCCTGCTCCTGGACGTGAACGTGCTCGGCGTGTCCGTCCATCTCTGTGCCGCTAAGATCTCGACCTTTCCTGGATAAGTGTCTTGACTAAATAAATTCGATGTGTTTTTGTGTTTCTTTTATGATTTTTGGTGTGTGGTTAGGCGTACACGTTTCTTAACACTCTCACAACTCGTAGCCATCGGCCAGGTTCGCCCGATTCTTCAGAATATAACAACATAGCTCGAACGCCAATGCACAGCACATCCCGCTGATTTTGCCCACAGAGTACTACTGTAGTGCGATGGTGGGGCCATCGAGCGACACAAGTCGGCGGCTCATCGCCGCTGCTGAGGGAAGAACAGGCGGAGGGGAAAGGCCCCTGTGGGATAGGCAGGCCAGCCAAGCGACGGGGCGGGACCGACACGTCCACAGTAAATCCGTCCACAGAATTTGCGCGTTGTGAAAACACGTCCACAAATTTACATCCAATGATTTGGACGTAAATTAACAGATGTGTTTTTTACGTCCACAGTGTGGATGTACTTTTGAGGCTGGTGAAAATAGCTCCACAAAATATTTTGCCACTTGTCTCCTCTCATTTACATCCACACGGATGACGTTTTGCCCTCACTCTGAAAATCCAACAGTACGACAGTTGCGAGAGTGGCGCGAAAATCCTACACACTCAATTGTAGGTGACTCTTGTGCTACTCTGAAATCTCTAGAAATACGCACTAAGAGTAGGACGTTGATAGAGTTGTAAGATTTTCATACAGTTACTGCGCTGGTTTGGGCTCTCTGCATTGCCTCTCATGTCGCGCTCCACACAGTCGGGCCGAGACAATGGTTATTTTCATTCACCGATAAACAAAAATTGTTCAACTCTTTAACACTTGCAATAGCGCAAGCACAACAACTCTGTCGCACACTTACAAGTGTTGAACAGTTTATGACTTAGTTGGTCAGTGTAGAGGAGAAACAGGCTTACGGGCATGCGTTTATTCTTTGGCTCGTTCGGTCATTAGGATGTGAATCGCAGCGGTGACAATTAGCACCAGATTTTGTGGAGGTATTTTCACCAGCCTCAGACGGACCGTAAGTACATCCACACTGTGGACGTAATAATCACAGACGTTAATTTACGTCCAAATCATTGGACGTATTTTCGCAAAGCGCTTCATTTACGTCCAAACTGCTGTGGACGTATTTACCGTGGACGTGTCGGTCCTCTACCCAAGCGACCACGCCAAGGTGTGGCCTACCGGGCAGGCGGGTCGCGGCTCCTGGCTGCGCAGCGAGCAGAGGACGAAGTGAGCCACTGCACTGCAGGCAGCCGCTGCAGAGGCCGTCACCACACGCAAAGAAAAGAATTATTGTACCAACGACTCGGCAACGCCCGCACTGCAAAACCAATTGTCGACAGGGTACACATAACGACCAGCGTGCCTGCTGGCACGCACGAGCAAGTAGACTAAATATAACGTGTATCGCCAGTGGTTTACAGGCCAGGGCCGTGTTGCTTACTCGGCAGGGGCCGTAACGCGCCCTTTTAAGAGGGCGGAGGGGGGGGGGGTCACGCCCCCTATTCGTCCTAGAAAACCCGTGAAAGTAGACAACTCACAGTAAATCGCCCCATTTGTCGGACGGACTTAAAACCGCGCCAGACAAGCACGCGCCTGCGTGCGGTATTGTAGTATAACTACAAAATATGCCGAGATCTATGGTCCATCCTTCATGTTGTGTGAGAAGTGTTCAACTGAGTCGCTCAACAGGCTGAAGAGCCTCCGCCTCTCTGAAATTTGCACAACAGCCATGTTTAAAGGAGACAATTAACAGACTTGGAGTTGTACACTTGGACACGTGTTCAGCAGGTGCTCGCTTGTTCTGTCGGTAGTGCCGCGGCGTAGCCTCTTTCTCGCGTCTCCATCCTTCGTGAGGTGGTGAGTAACCCGTTTACTTTCGCTTTGCATCACGCGAGTTTTGCCTCTTTACCAACACTCCGAGTTATTCTTTGACCACCTTCTTTTTGAGAGCAGCAAATGCCTTGCCACCTCGCTAACAAATGCTCATAGCTTACAACGTGATAACTTGCTTCATGTATCTAAAAATATAATAATACGTGAATGGAGTTGTCTGCCCTACCTGTTTATCTGTTTCAGATGGCCCCCGGTGGCCAGGCGGCAAGCAGTGCTCGTTCTTGAGCTCTCCAGGAGATTTCCGAACCGATCTGCAAGAAGCTAGATGATGAAATAAAACTTAGAGTTTGTCCACGTTTGACTGCTTGCTCGCACACCTCTCCCTCAGCACCTTTGTATTGCTGCGCAGCGCGCCTGGGAGGTACGCAACCACTCTGGCATATGCCACATGTTTTGCCTACCCCCTCCAGGGCAGGGGCCCGCCGGGGGGAACAGAACTGCTGGAGCGATAATGTTTGGCTGGGGAAGGGAGGAGGGGGAAGGACCGAGAGCCACCAGGACCTCTAACATCAAGTGCAACGTACGGTCAATGCGAGACTGGGCAAAATGCTCGAGCGAGACGAGCTATGGTGCGTTCGCGTTCGTTCATGCAACACACAGAAAAGACAAATTTTTCTCTATACTTGAGTACTTGATTTGAATTCGGAATAGATTAAGAACCGTCCGCATTTCGAACAGCAGACTATGGGAAACGTGATCTGGGGTCTCGGACGCCCAGCACTGCATGCACTCGGCGGGCATGTCGAACAGAGGAGCTCAAGACTGATCGTGTTAGCAAGCGCCGCGCACGGCACGCGACACGTTTGCCGCAGAGCAGAAGCTTGCAATAGGGATTGGCCGCCGTCACGTCCCTGACCGTCTTGCCGTTGATCCACGCGTGCGCGCACACGCTGGCCAGCGTGCCCACGTCTACGGTGCGCAGGGCGTGCGCTAGGACGGAGTCCGCGGCCGCCTTGTCCACGTCGACGTACACCAGCTCGACCCTGTGGGGCTGGCCGATCTGACGGCGACTCGCACGCTGCCACGGCCTCGATCCCTCCCTGGCGCACGTCAGATCGCAGAGGTTCGGCTAGGCTGCCAGCCGCGGGAGCAGGTGCACGGTCCTGAGGATGGCGAAGGTCGTCAACCCCGGTTTGAGGTTGCATCACGATGCCCGGGGGCTTGGTGAGGATGCTGAGCAAGAACTTCCTCAGGCCGCGAGTCCCCGCCAAGTGACTAGGCAGCACGCGAACACCGTATCGCAGTGAGCGAACATCTCCCCCCCCACGGTCGACAACACGATCGTGGTTGTGGGGACCTCGCCCTGCAGGATGCCGGCGGCGGCGGCGGCACCACCACCATCACCTCCGTCGTGCTCAGCCGCCTTAGGCTTAAAAGAGGCTTGGGCCGGCCGGGCCGACGAGGGCCGCCATGCGCTCGCCAGGATCATGATCAGGAGATCCCCCCCCCCCCTACACACACAAACGGGAGGTAGGCAGTGCGCAGTGGGAGAGGGGCCCTGCTCGTCCACGACCTCTCGCACGCAGCCAGCGCCGGCGCCAGGACGACGTCCGCGCCCGCGTCGTCCAGGTCGACGTCCACCAGCTCGATCTGGCACCGGACGACCTGCTGCTCCTGGTTATCCCCCCCCCCCCCGCCGGAACGTAAGATAGGGGCTCTTCTGGCCCTTCGCCACGCTCCTGCTCCAGCGCGGCAACCTTCGCTGTTGGCGGTCGACTAGGCCGTAGGCGTCACCGTGGACTCGGTACTCGGTGCTCGGCGTGCAGATGCAGGAGCTGGAGCAGCACTCCAACACCCCAGTCCCCATCGCTCTCCCATGCCGGACCGGCACCTCGTGCTTATGCAGGGAAGGTGCTGGCCGTCGTGTCGAGTAGGCGTCGCTGTGAACTCGGTGCTCTGAGTGCAGATGAAGGTGCTGTGGGATGCAGGCGCCGCCGACAACCCCCCTCTTCCTCCACCCCCTTCCGGCTCACTCCAGCCTTCAGAGCTACGACACCCCACGGTGCAGATGTAGAGTCTCTCTCTACACCGTGGTCCAGACACTGCCTCCCTCCAGCCGTCTTCACGAACTACGACCGGCCGCTGCAGCAGCCACGTTAACATTACGACCGGGGTCCAGCGGCAGGATGTCGCCAAGGCCGAGCTAGGCCGCCGGGAGCAGAAGTCCGGCGAGCTCCTGGAGGACTCTGCGGAGCCGGGGTCCTGCGCCTGGCGCGCGAGGCCTACCGCAGCCGGCAGGGAGCCTCGCTCAGGAGGGTCGGCGCCAGCCTGTTTGAGCTTGCTGCTCCTGCCCCTCGGTCCAGTGCAGCACGGCCTGCAGCACCGCG